AAATACACCTAAAAGTTTAGCAAAAAATTGACGGCCAAATCTAAGTAGAGGAAAACACATATTACCACCAAAAAGCCATCCAAAATCATAAAAAAGTTGCCAAAATAATTCAATTTTTCTTAGGCAGACGATTTTAATGCAATTTCTTGCAAAAAATACACCAAAAAGTGTCGAAAAAAATTGATGGCCAAATCCAAGTAGAGGAAGACACATATTACCACCAAAAAGCCATCCAAAATCATAAAAAAGTTGCCAAAAAAATTCAATTTTTCTAAGGCAGACGATTTTAATGCAATTTCTTACAAAAAATACTCCTAAAAGTGTAGCAAAAAATTGAGGGCCAAATCCCAGTAGAGGAAGAAACATATTACCACCAAAAAGCCATCCAAAATCATAAAAAAGTTGCCAAAAAAATTCAATTTTTCCTAGGCAGACGATTTTAATGCAATTTCTTGCACAAAATACTCCTAAAAGTGTAGCAAAAAATTGACGGCCAAATCCAAGTAGAGGAAGACACATATTTCCACCAAAAAGCCATCCAAAATCATAAAAAAGTTGCCAAAAAAATTCAATTTTTCTTAGGCAGACGATTTTAATGCAATTTCTTGCACAAAATACTCCTAAAAGTGTAGCAAAAAATTGACGGCCAAATCCAAGTAGAGGAAGACACATATTTCCACCAAAAAGCCATCCAAAATCATAAAAAAGTTGCCAAAAAAATTCAATTTTTCTTAGGCAGACGATTTTAATGCAATTTTTTACACAAAATACTCCTAAAAGTGTAGCAAAAAATTGAGGGCCAAATCCCAGTAGAGGAAGACACATATTACCACCAAAAAGCCATCCAAAATCATAAAAAAGTTGCCAAAAAAATTCAATTTTTCTAAGGCGGACGATTTTAATGCAATTTCTTGCACAAAATACACCTAAAAGTTTAGCAAAAAATTGAGGGCCAAATCCCAGTAGAGGAAGAAACATATTACCACCAAAAAGCCATCCAAAATCATAAAAAAGTTGCCAAAAAAATTCAATTTTTCCTAGGCAGACGATTTTAATGCAATTTCTTGCACAAAATACTCCTAAAAGTGTAGCAAAAAATTGACGGCCAAATCCAAGTTTAGGAAGACACATATTTCCACCAAAAAGCCATCCAAAATCATAAAAAAGTTGCCAAAAAAATTCAATTTTTCTTAGGCAGACGATTTTAATGCAATTTCTTGCACAAAATACTCCTAAAAGTGTAGCAAAAAATTGACGGCCAAATCCCAGTAGCGGAAGAAACATATTACCACCAAAAAGCCATCCAAAATCATAAAAAAGTTGCCAAAAAAATTCAATTTTTCTTAGGCAGACGATTTTAATGCAATTTTTTACACAAAATACTCCTAAAAGTGTAGAAAAAAATTGAGGGCCAAATCCCAGTAGAGGAAGAAACATATTACCACCAAAAAGCCATCCAAAATCATAAAAAAGTTGCCAAAAAAATTCAATTTTTCCTAGGCAGACGATTTTAATGCAATTTCTTGCACAAAATACTCCTAAAAGTGTAGCAAAAAATTGACGGCCAAATCCAAGTTTAGGAAGACACATATTTCCACCAAAAAGCCATCCAAAATCATAAAAAAGTTGCCAAAAAAATTCAATTTTTCTTAGGCAGACGATTTTAATGCAATTTCTTGCACAAAATACTCCTAAAAGTGTAGCAAAAAATTGACGGCCAAATCCCAGTAGCGGAAGAAACATATTACCACCAAAAAGCCATCCAAAATCATAAAAAAGTTGCCAAAAAAATTCAATTTTTCTTAGGCAGACGATTTTAATGCAATTTCTGGGACAAAATACACCTAAAAGTGTCGAAAAAAATTGACAGCCAAATCCAAGTAGAGGAAGACACATATTACCATCAAAAAGCCATCCAAAATCATAAAAAAGTTGCCAAAAAAATTCAATTTTTCTTAGGCAGACGATTTTAATGCAATTTTTTACACAAAATACTCCTAAAAGTGTAGCAAAAAATTGAGGGCCAAATCCCAGTAGAGGAAGAAACATATTACCACCAAAAAGCCATCCAAAATCATAAAAAAGTTGCCAAAAAAATTCAATTTTTCCTAGGCAGACGATTTTAATGCAATTTCTTGCACAAAATACTCCTAAAAGTGTAGCAAAAAATTGACGGCCAAATCCAAGTTTAGGAAGACACATATTTCCACCAAAAAGCCATCCAAAATCATAAAAAAGTTGCCAAAAAAATTCAATTTTTCTTAGGCAGACGATTTTAATGCAATTTCTTGCACAAAATACTCCTAAAAGTGTAGCAAAAAATTGACGGCCAAATCCAAGTAGAGGAAGACACATATTTCCACCAAAAAGCCATCCAAAATCATAAAAAAGTTGCCAAAAAAATTCAATTTTTCCTAGGCAGACGATTTTAATGCAATTTCTTGCACAAAATACTCCTAAAAGTGTAGCAAAAAATTGACGGCCAAATCCATGTAGAGGAAGACACATATTACCACCAAAAAGCCATCCAAAATCATAAAAAAGTTGCCAAAAAAATTCAATTTTTCTAAGGCGGACGATTTTAATGCAATTTCTTGCACAAAATACACCTAAAAGTGTAGCAAAAAATTGACGGCCAAATCCAAGTAGAGGAAGACACATATTACCGCCAAAAAGCCATCCAAAATCATAAGAAAGTTGCCAAAAAAATTCAATTTTTCTTAGGCAGACTATTTTAGTGTAATTTCTTGCAGAAAATACTCCCAAAAGTGTAAGAAAAATTGACAGCCTGATACGAGTAGAGGAAGACCCATATTACTGAAGGCAACCCCTATCTTAAAAAATTTCCAATAAATTCAATTTTTCTTAGACAGACAATTTTATTGCAATTTCTTGCAGAAAGTACAACAAAAATTGCAGAAAAAATTCCCTTTTTTTTCTTGACTAGAATTAACTTGTACAAACTGTTTGTTTCTCTTTCTGAAGTGGAAAATAAGTTGAAAAACTGTAAGAAAACCAATGATACGATTAACATTTGTTTTTGCTGAAGATTTTATCTTGAAAACTACAGAAAGAATTTCTACCTATTTACTTTACTAAAATTAACTGAAAAAAAATTTTGTTTCCAATTGTAAGGTGGAAAATGAGTTGGAAATCTGCTAGAAAACCTACTATACGATTAACTTTTTTTTTTGATGAAGATTTTGTCCTGAAAAGTACAGAAAAAATTTTTTTTTAGTTAATTTTAGTAAAGTAAGCTTCACTAAAATTAACTAAAAAAAAATTTTTGCCCATATTTCTGTGGTGGAAAATGAGTAGAAAAACTACTAGAGAACCGGTGATACGATATATATAATTGAGGAGCAAATTTTCAAAACTTGATAAATCCATTTTTCAAAAAAATTGAGATAACCATAAATTTAATATTTTAAGGACCTCACAAATCGATCTGTCACTGTTAAATTTAAGGAAAAAAATTTATTAATTACAAATTTTTTATTTAAAAACTTATTGACATAACCAAGATGATTTACAATTTGTATGTTTTATATTAGAAAAAATTACCAGAACCTGTAAATCACTCAATTATGACAAAGTTCAATTAGAAATATAACGTCTTGAATATAAAAACATTGTTATAGAAATAAATTATTATAAATTTTTTATTTTAAAATTAACTCTAGTGGTTATGTGTGGAAAGTCATTTGTTTGAATTTCTCGAAATAAGAAAATATGGATTTATCAGGTTTTGAAAACTTGCTCCTCAATTATAGGCGGACATCGGGAGCAAATAGGAGACTAGTGGGAATGTCGTCTATGCTAAGTTGATTTACGCAACATCAGCGTGGGTCCCATTCCTGAGAACAAAATCATGTACGGAGAGAAATTTCTCACTTTAAAAGTGCCAATACTATACTAGCGATTTTCGTATGTCCGTTTTCTTTACAAAAACGCTTAAAGTTATACTAAAATAGTTCCAAAAATTCCCATGCGTTAAAAGATCAATGGTATTAACTTTATTAGTAGCAGTTTTTTTTGTCTATTTTGCACGAATGACGAGTGAACATGGTTCCCCGCTCTGCCGTGCGAGATTCGTTCAAGGCATATACCAATATAGCGTCAACATTTAGCGATTATTCCAATTAGTTGTCAAATAATCGCTAGACGTTTGACGCTATATTAGTATGTGCGTTGAACGAAATTCGCATAGCAGGATGAAGAACTATATTCACATGAAATTCATACGAATATAGAATTATCAACGACACTTTATTTTACATAAAGCAAAAATATTTTATGTTTAAAACTTAAAACATGTCTCAAATTTTTTTCAATAACTACTACATATTACCATCCCAATCAGCACGAAAACTTGCAGGAAGTTTGTCGTGCAAGATTGCAGTGCAAACATGTAGTAAGTTTGGTGCAAGCAACAAAATGTTCTCTTGTGGCAAGGTTGTTAAGCAAGCTTGTAGCGAACTTGCGAAAACCTTGCTGCAAGCTTGTATAATACAAAAAAAAAAATTTTTCGAAACAATTTTTTACTAAATAAACATAAAGGGCACCCTGCTTTAAGGGTTAAAAACTTTATTGCGCAGCCATAGGAGCTTCCGTTTACAACTGTGCATCGTATTAAGTTTTGAAAATTTGCAGCAAGGTTGCACTAACGTTGTCTTGCAAGCTTGCCACAAGAGGACATTTTGTTGCTTGCACCAAACTTGCTACATGTTTGCACTGCAATCTTGAACGGCAAGCTTCTTGCAAGTTTGCTGCAAGTTTTCGTGCTGATTGGGATGTGGGATCCTATGTGAGATCTCATGTAGTATCTCATATGACAAACCATAAGTGATCTTATACGAGATCACATACGGGCATTTACAATAGAGTTGTTTATCGGACAATATCTACGAATGTTGTTGAGGGAAAAAAATAAAATATCTCCTTCAATAATAATAATAATAATAATAATAATAATAATAAAGAGAAGAAAAACTACTCACATCATTTTCGTAAATTAATTTTCGATCATTTCCATCAAAATCGCAACTTTCAATGACTCTTAAAAGAATATCACACCAATAAAGTCGGGATCTTTCATGATCGATAGCAAGACCAGAAATAATTGTCACTCTTGATTTTACAATACTGATTGGATTAATTCCGCTCAATTCGGCACGATATATTTCCGATTTACTGTAACTTCCTTGTTTACTGAGACTCCAAAAGATCCATCTATAAGGTTTTTTTTTTACTATTTGTGATAATTTTGATTAGACTCTTTTATTTTACATTATTATAAAGTGAACTTTTACTTTAATTTTAATATTTTATATACAATATGGAAAATATAATTTAAAATCTTACCCATTTACAGAATCGACAATAAGAGCAAATACATTTCCAACTTTATCGAGAGATATTGCATTCGCGCAAATACCTTTATTGAGATTGCAAACCTAAATTATTATTAAAAATAGAATACAATTTGACAAGTTTTTCTTTTTAAAAAAAAGTATGGAAACTTATAAATATCTCAAAAAGTACGCATTTTTGTGATATTTCTTTTTTCACTATTGGGTCTCGGGCCCAATGTTTTGGGTTCAAAAATGTGTTCCTTTTTATTGGGAACAATTTTTGTGTTAAACATTTTTCACAAAAATGCGTATTTTTCAAAATATTTGTAAGTTTCCATTCATTTTGAAGAACCTGTATAATTATTTTTATATATTATTTAAATTTTAATGAACATTGAAAAATATTTTTAAAAAGCTAATTAATTTTAGTATTATTTATTTATTTTTTGTACCTTAATTGAAGCAAGTGATGTTTTACTGTAAACGTAGACATTATCAGTTGCCCAATCAACTGCCAAACGATCAGGATTTTGAAAGAATATTTCCTTCCTTTCTCCTGTTGTTAAATTTAATCTCGAAATGGTTTTCATATTTTCTAGAAGAAAAAAAAAACAAAAAAAACCCAAACGATTAAATCTTATAAATAAACTGTTTTTAAGAAATAAGAAAAGAATGGTAAAATTATTCAAATAATACCGCTAATTTACCGTTGCTCCAATAAATTGTATTTTTTGCAATATTCACATCTAAACCGGAAATTTCATCATTCATATCGGAAACAATAATTTCGGTTGCAATTCCGCCTAGAGACACTTTTTTGATACCCTCATTACTGGCTATGATGAATTTCATTGATAAATCTGTCAATTGGATTAAGAGTAATTTATCAGATGAATACACAGTGGTACAAAATGACAAAATTTAGTTTAAATTGACTTTTGGACAACAATTATGAAACAAATTCAAAAATTCTTATTTCCTCTCACGGGGTACCTAAACAAACTTTAAATGACCACTTTTTTTACTTCGGATTTTTTTCTTGCATTCGATTCAGCAACTTAAAAATAGTGTGAAATAGGTAGATTAATAAAATTACAGATTTTATTCTTTAAATAGAATGAAAACTAATGTTTACATATCATAAGATATTAAAAAATTAACATTTTGTTAACAAACAATGTTATACATTAAATTTTATATTTTTCTTTTGTTTATTATATACGTAAATTACCGCAACATTGGTAGATTTTGAATAAATCAAAATTAATTTTTTTTTTTGAAAAAATTGATTTTTAACATAAAAAATATTTTTTTTTAAAAAACGGCTCGATGAACTTCGCTAAAAATAATTTTACACACTATATTTATTTATTTATTTATTTTATTTTACACTTTATTTACTATATTTATTTTATTTATTTCTATTCAGAAATTAATCGAAATTTTTTACAATTAATTTTAATTTTTTTTGTAATTAACTTTATCATTTTTATAAACAATTACAATTTATGACTATTACTAGGTAAAATTTTTTGTTGTAAATTTGCTTTTGGTTATTAAGGGTGAATTTCCTTTTAATTTTTGTCAGAAATTAATCGATTTTTTAATTTATTTAGAATTAAGTTATAAGTTAGAGGAAACAAGAATTTTCGAATTTGGTTCATAATAAATTGTGGTCTAAAAGTTAAATTGTGTTAAAATATTAATTTAAAATATTAAATATTTTAAAATAAAAATAAGGTAGAAAGAGAATTTATACAAAACAATAGAATCGACTGAAAGTCTAGTCATAATAAACCATTTATGACACCCTATTGTATTAATTGTCCTTCTATACCTGAATATTGAAATTATATTAGAAACTAGCTAAAAGAAACGCGCGTAAACGCGCGCGATATCTACAATTTTTTATGAAAAATTAAAAATTTATTTTTATTTGACGGACACTTATTGGACTTTTGATCTCACAAAAATAATAATATTATTTTACAAGTACGCCTAAGATATGTATGCTTAAGGTTAACAGTCCATCCAGGATCACCAAAAGGAAACAATGTAGGATATGTCATGGGATTAAAATTTTCCCTAACAATAAGACTAGAAATTATTTTCTTATTATTTTCTGTTGTGCATACTGAATTTACATCAACATGTAAATCCCTCGTCAATTTTTGTAGATAATTTCTTCATCTTACAGGACAAATTTTTTTCTTTGGGTATTTTCTTTTCATTCTTAGTTTCAGTAGACAGAACTCTGTTGTCATTTTTACTGGGAAAAGTCTTTACAAAATATGAAAGGTTTAGCTCACCATTTTGAAGTTCTTTAGCTCGATTTATGAAAAGACAATTCCAATCATTCTCTATAAATCGAAATCCTAATATTAGACATTCTAAATGCCGGAAAATGATTTAATTAATTGTTTTCAAAAAATGATATCAAAATGCTTGCTCATTACATTATTATCAGTTCCATAAATTAATCTTTTAATTTACACTGTTAACCAATACAGATGTTGCAAATGCTATTGCATTATACTTCACACTTAACTGTACCAACCGGTTCTTGATCAACATCTACAAAAAATTCTGTTGGTTTAAAAGGGAACAATCTAATTAAATATTCTATTTGAAGAATATTCGAACACCCTGCATTAAGGTTATCAAAAATATAAAGTCTTACTTCATCGTAATAAACACAAATCAAATGACCAGAATTGTTATTACCGCTAAAAACTATTTGAATATGTTTATCTCTTTCTCTAATTGGAACAATTAAATCAAGCATTTGTAAATACAAAAGTACTTTGCATAATGAAAAGAGAATTTGAATCATTTTTTGATAATTCTTGAAATTTATACATATGCATATCATTTAACATTTCATTTACATTTTCAATAATTTTAAAATCTTCATTACTTAAAATAAAATACTCTTCTATGTTCGACATGGTATCCTTCTTCTACTTTCAAACTGTTGATAAAGCCAATTTTCAAAACATATCGTTTATTTTAGTTTATTGCTTTAAAAAATTTACTTACATGTGTTTCACCTATAAAAAATTTCATTAACTATAATTCAGCTAACTAATGCAACAATGATAGTCTTACATGAACGTGAATTAGCGTTGTTTAATCTTTTTCCATATTATATTATTTTCGATAATGATTATTATTTAACTTATTTTCCTCTGCACTTTTTATTAACTTTTTTTTGACTTTTTTCCGGGTAAAAAAATTTTTTTTTTTCATGAACTATTTTTTTCTTAAAATAGCATCTTTTTGTGAGAAATTTGAAAAAAATTGATCTCATTTGTATAACAGGAAAAAAAGTTACATGGTTTTTTTTTTAAAAAATGACATAAATTTTTAATTAGAGATATCTCAAAAAATTTTGAACATTTTTAAAAATTGTCAAAAATTCTTGTGATCACATCCCATGGAATTGCTCTATACCCAACGAATCTTTAGACAGTTCTTGGGAAAAATATTTTCTAAAAAATCTTGTTTCTATCTTATTGGCTTGAAATTTGTTACTCGGGGGTTTTTGTGGTCGCTGATTACGAATCTGAAGTCGGATTTTAAAAATTCAAAATAACGGATCAAATATGTCGGACAAATTTTACAAAAAATGATCAGATTTCCTTGAAACTCGTTACTCGGGGGTTTTCGGGGTCGCTGATTACGAATCTAAAGTCGGATTTTAAAAATTGAAAATGGCGGATCCAATAAGGCGGACGAATTTTACAAAAAATGATCTAATTTGCTTGAAACTCGTTACTCGGGGGATTTCGGGGTCGCTGATTACGAATGTGAAATCGGATTTTAAAAATTCAAAATGGCGGATCCAATATGTCAGAAAAAATTAAAAATTCATTGTATTCGCTTGAAATTTGTTACTCGGGGGTTTTGGGGTCGCTGCTTGCGAATATGAAGTCAAATTTTCAAAACTCAAAATGGCGGATCCAATATGGCGGACGTATTTTATTAGAAATTGTCGGAATACCTTGAAAATTGTAACTCAAGGGTTTTTGTGGTCACTTATACAAAATCTATTGTCAGTTTTAATTATTCAAAATGTGCGATCCAAAATGGCCTACATTTTTGAAAGAATTTCAATAAAATTTCGTTTCTCTGAGGTTTTTGAACCAGTTAAGACAGGCCATATTGGATCCGCCATTTTGAATTTTTAAAATCCGATTTCACATTCGTAATCAGCGACCCCGAAATCCCCCGAGTAACGAGTTTCAAGCAAATTAGATCATTTTTTGTAAAATTTGTCCGCCATATTTGATCCGACATTTTGAATTTTTAAAATCCGACTTCAGATTCGTAATCAGCGATCCCAAAAACCCCCGAGTAACAAATTTCAAGCCAATAAGATAGAAACAAGATTTTTTAGAAAATATTTTTCCCAAGAACTGTCTAAAGATTCGTTGGGTATAACGTCTATTGGCGTAACTGAAACTGTTAATTTTAACATGTCATAACTTTTTTTTAAAAAATCCTACAATAATTTTGAAAAATAGGTTTTAAAGCTAAAGAGTTGTACTATGCGACTTTTTCGTCGAAAATTGAAAAAAAATTTCTATCCCAAAAAAAATTATCAAAAATGGCTAAAATGGTCATTTTTTTACCTTTTAGGCTTCATTTACTAAAAATCCTGACGGGATGAAGCATTTTTAAGGTCAGATTCGTTTTCAGCGCATAAAAAGCTACAAGAAACAAGTACAGCCATTCTAGAAACTCACCCTCGCAGGACTGTGTAATAAATGTTAATGTTCAAAAGTTTTATAATTTTAGTTCCATTCAATAAACGTACATGATGTGTTGTAAATCGATTTAACCCAATGGTGCTGGCACCAAAAATTTTCTTCTTGTTTTTTATTCTCCAGTACATATAACCACATGGTGATTGTTCAAACCGGGCTGGTAAAGTGGGGGACACAACTTCACCTCTCAGGACAGTATTTAAAAGGTCATCGACCATCTTACGAACCCTTAACCGAAAGCTGTTTTGACAAATCAAATTTCAGGTAGAAACCTTCGAGAACCCTAATTATCAAAGTAAAGATATATATGTATATATAATCTAATAATAATGAGAAAATTCAAGTACTAAGAAAATGTGAATGAATGACGGAATGAATACAAAGATTATTATTCTATAATATTACTTGAAGTACTTGTTTATGTTTCGTTACTTCCTGCCACCGTCAGATGGCAGAAGCATGCAGGGAGCACAATTTGAGTTGAAATATTAAATTAAAACATTAAATTTTCGACCTTAAATAAATAGATAAAAAAAAAGAATTTTCGAATTTCATAATTGTGGTCTAAAAATTAATTTTTGTTAAAATATTATATTAAAATATTAAATATTTGAAAGAAAAATAAGGAGAAAAGGGGACATAACAACAATAGAGTCGACTGGAATTCTAGTCATAATAAACCATTTATGACACCCTATTGTATTAATTGTCCTTCTATACCTGAATATTGAAATTATATTAGAAATATTACTTGAAGTACTTGTTTATGTTTCGTTACTTCCTGCCACCGTCAGATGGCAGAAGCATGCAGGGAGCACAATTTGAGTTGAAATATTAAATTAAAACATTAAATTTTCGACCTTAAATAAATAGATAAAAAAAAAGAATTTTCGAATTTCATAATTGTGGTCTAAAAATTAATTTTTGTTAAAATATTATATTAAAATATTAAATATTTGAAAGAAAAATAAGGAGAAAAGGGGACATAACAACAATAGAGTCGACTGGAATTCTAGTCATAATAAACCATTTATGACACCCTATTGTATTAATTGTCCTTCTATACCTGAATATTGAAATGATAATAGTAATATAACTTGAAGTATTTGTTTATGGTTCGTTACGTCATGTCGCCGTCAGATGGCAGAAGCATGCAGGAAGCACAAAATTAAAGCTACATATTTAAAAAAAACTTTTTTCGAAAAAAAACTAAAGAATTATGAATTGAATGAAAGATTTTAAATGAAATATTCTATTTTTTTTCAAATTAAAAATAAAATACCCAAATATTCTTAACAAATTTTTGACTTTTTTCATTTTTAAAAAATATTTAAAGAACATTTTTAAATCAATTTATACTATTAATTTATTCACAATACAAATTAATCAATGATTGAAAAAAGTAAATTAATTAGATGTTCAATCATTTAGCTATTTAAATTTTTTTAATTTAATTATTTTTTTAAAATAAATTTGCTTTCGATTATTGCGATTGAACTTTTTTTATTAAGAAGTTTTTCTTCGACAAATTTTCTTATTTTTTAAAAAAAATTTATAAACAAATACACTGAACCGCAATTTTTGATAGAAATTAATCGAATTTTTAATTTGTTCAGAATTTATTTCTGAGTAAAAGGAAACATGAATTTTTAAATTTGGTTAAAAATTGTGGTCTAAAAGTTAATTTGTTCTAAAATATTAAGTTAAAATATTAAATATTTCAAAAGAAAAATAAAGAGAGATAACAACAATAGAGACAACTGGAAGTCTAGTCATAATAAACCATTTATGACACCCTATTGTATTAATAATTGTCCTTCTATACCTGAAATTATTGAAATTATAATAGTAATATTACTTGAAGTATTTGTTTATGTTTCGTTACGTCCTGTCGCCGTCAGATGGCAGAAGCATACAGGGAGCATAAATTGCAGTTAAACAAATAAGTTAAAAAAACTATATTTAGAAAATAAACTTAAGAATTATCAATTGAATAAAAGATTTTAAAATATAATTTCTATTATTTTTTTCAAATTAAAAACAAAAAATATTCTTAAAATTTTTTTTTTCATTTTTAAAAAATATTTAAAGAACATTTGTAAATCAATATTTATACTATTAACTTATTCAAAATACAAATCAATAGTCTAAAAAATTAAATTAATTAGATGTTCAATTATTTAGCTATTTAAATTTTTTTGAGTAAATTTGCTTTTGATTATTGCGATTGAACTTTTTTTTACTAAGAAGTTGTTTTTCGATAAATTTTCTAATTTTTTTGAAACAATTCTTATAAACAAATACAATGTTTTGCAATTTTTGTCAGAAATTAATTACATTTCTAATCTGTTCATAATTTATTTTTGATTTAGAGGAAACAAGAATTTATTTAGTTAAAAATTGTGGTCTAAAAGTTAATTTGTTTTAAAATATTAAATATTTCAAAAGAAAAATAAGGAGAGATAACAACAATAGAGTCGACTGGAAGTCTAGTCATAATAAACCATTTATGACACTCTTTTGTATTAATTTTCTTTCTATACCTGAATATTGAAATTAAAATAGTAATATTACTTAAAGTATTTGTTTATGTTTCGTTACGTCCTGTCGCCGTCAGATGGCAGAAGCATACAGGAAGCATAAATTGCAGTTAAACAGATAATTTTAAAAAAATTATATATTGAGAAAATAAACTAAAGAATTATCAATTGAATAAAAGATTTTAAAATAAAATATTGTTTGAATAAAATAACTATAACAAAAAGTTTTTATGTTTAAAAATGGTTATAAAAATTTTTTTTAACAATTGCCGTTTAAGGATATTAACTATCAAATGAAAAATGTTTTTAAGTAAATTTGCTTTTGATTACAGCGATTGAACTTTTTCTTATCATGAAGTTTTTTTTCTAAAAATTCTCTTATTTTTTAAATAATTTTTATAAACAAATACACTGTACGGTCATTTCTGATCAGAAATTAATCGAATTTTCTACGATTAATGTTAAAACTAAGTATTATTCTTATGACAAAATATTTTTTTAACTATTATTTTTATAATAAAATTTAATAGTGCTTTTGAAGTATTTAAATTTTTGATACAATTTTATAAAAATTGTTTGAATAAATAAAATTTATTGAAAGCAACTTTTTAATAAAAGAAAGTTCAATGGCAATAATAAAAAGCAAATTTATTTAAACTTTTCTTTTTATTTGACCTCAAACAGTTTTAAATTGCAATTATTTATATAATTTGTTTATAACAATTTTTAAGTTTAAAAACCTTTTTTTTGTACTACTGTGAAACGCAACGTCAAAAAATAATAAAATATTAAAAGAAAATTTTGGTAAAATAAAAGTGTTCTTTACCTGTACTTTTACATGTTATTCCATCGTTACGAAGCGTATAACCATTATAGCAATCACATTTGTACGATCCTAAAGAATTGATACAAATTTGACTGCAAAATTTTGTTCCCGTTGGTAAACTACATTCGTCAATGTCCTTACAAGATTTACCATCTTCTTGCAATTTATATCCTTCAACACACTGACAAACTGGTCCTTTTGGAGATTTAATACATAATTGTTCGCAAGAAGATGTATGATTACAAGAAGATTCTATAACAAAAAAAAAAAACAAAAAATAGATTTTAAATTTCTTTTTCTCAGTGAAAGAATAATTTTAAAAATCTAAAAACACATAATTAAAAGAAGGAAAATTTAAATTAATTAATTATCAATGAATTAATATTAAAAATTAGAAGAAGATTAAAATAAAAAAAATAGTATTTGAATTGTGCTCCCTACATGCTTCTGCCATCTGACGGCGACAGGAGGTAACGAAACATAAACAAATACTTCTTTTTTTATTTTAAAATCTTGAAATAATGTTTTTTTTCATTGAAAAAATTTGGATCATTACCACACTGTCCTTGTTCATCGCTTTTATCATTACAATCGTAAATTTGATTGCAAAGTTTGCTATATGAAATACATCCACCGTCATCACATTTATATTCTTCACATGAACTTGTTATTGATGGCGAATTGTTCACTTGACGAGCAGTTCCGCAATGTGTCTCATCTGAATTATCTCCACAATCATTTTTGCTGTCGCACATCCAAGACAAATCAATGCATCGCAAATTTTCACATTTAAATTCTGATTCTTCACATTGAAAACAATTTTTCTCATCGTCACCATGTGGACAATCTAATTTGTTATTGCATCTGAAATTAATTTTTTCCTAATAGTAATAAGTTGAAAATAAAACTCTAATTCACTTTTTTTTAAGCAACTTTTCGGTGTCTTGGTTTGACACCATCATCAGATCACTTTATTCAATAAAAAGAAATTAACGTTTCATATTAACAAATTAAAAACAATGTATTTAAAAAAAATTAATATCTACTTGGTCATTTTTTAATTAAATAATAATAATATAAATAATTTTAATTTAATTAAACGCGATCGCAAAATTAGAAATAAAAAATTAATATAATGACAGCTCAGAGACTATGTGCTCCCTGCATGCTTCTGCCATCTGACGGGGACATAAAGTAATAAACCTGTCATTGTATTGCTTTCCTATTTCCAATTTTGAAATCGTGTTTTTGCATGGAACTTCTTCTCGTTTATACGAAAGTATGGTTTTTTTTACAGTCAAAATACTATTTACAGTTTTTTAGTACTAATAATCAATAAAGAGCATCATAATTTTTATCAAATAAAAAAATACGTATTTTCTTATTTTTCATAAAGATTTCAAAAAAAAAAAATATATATATATATCAGTAAAAAAAAATAACTGGAAACGCCACATATGAAAGTAATTATAATTATAAACTGTATAATTATAAATTAATTTTTAAAAAAATTGTTTACCGCAAATTTTGAGGAATACAAATTTCACTTTTGTTGCATTTATATTCAGTGGCATTACAATTGATGGGATCAATTTTTTTATAATTTATACATCCTGTTTCATCAGATAAATCGCCACAATCATCGTAACCATTGCAAACTAATAGCTGATCAACGCAATTACTATTTTTACATTGAAACATTTTTTGAGAACAAATTTTGGATATGCATTTTTCACCTTCGTCCGAACCATCCGAGCAATCAATCTGAAAAATATGTGAAGAATTATTATATTTAATAAAATAATAATTATTATGTTTCCAAATCAGCATTGAAAAATCTGCTAATTAGAAAGATGAATTTTTACGGGTTTGTAATTATTTCAAATTTAAAAAAATACTTTATATTTTCCTGATTTTTTTTCTTTTCTTTTTTTTAAAATAATCTCTCCTTACCTCTCCATCACATTCCCAGTGTTTTGGAATACAAACGTCTGTTATATTACATTTGAAATGATTTGAGTTGCAAGTAAAATTTTTACAATTAAATTCATCGGAAGTGTCAAGACAGTCGATTCGTCCATTACAGACAAGTGATTTCATTATACATTGACCTTTATCGTGACACTGGAATTCTCCTAAAATTATTTCTTAATTTTATTTTATCAATTTTATTTTTCATAATATAAAAAATTAAAAAGAAAAAAAGATTTTGCAAATTTTATTCAAATAAAAATTGAATCTTTATTTACTCTAAAAATATACTTTTATAATTTAAAATATATACATTTAACTAATTAAATTTTAATTTTTAACTAACATTTTTTATAACTAATTAAATCTTCAGAACAATTGTAATTGAAAGTACATAATAATGAAAAATATAAAAATAAATAATTAAAACAAATTTATAAAAGTATTTTTATAAATAAATAGGGTAAGTGTACTAATTACGGCGAGTGCACCAATAACGGCGCGTTCATAAAAAATAACTATTATTACTATTATATTTAATATAACTGTTGCCAAATGATTAAAAAAAATTATTTCAATCTTTTTTTGATACAAATACTTATAAAGATGCACATTTAAACAATTATTAATTTAATTATTTGAGATCAAATTTTTTTCCGCGCCGCAATTGAAACATTTTTAAGATTTCCATTGGCTTCAATTTCGGCGGGCAAAGTATCTTCAAAATACACGTAATTTTGGTCACCGCAATTGATACACCGAAACTGATACAAACTCGCCGCAATAGAAAATTACGGTATTAGTTTTAATTTCTCATATTTGTTTAAATAATCGATTTTTATAGAGTTAAAAATTTTTTTTAATATCTTAATAACATAAGCTTTAAGTTTAATAAGTCTTAAATTGAGTTTATGCAATAGAAATGTCGAATTTTCTATTTCAAAAGTGTTTTGACTCGAATCGCGCCGCAATTAGTGCATTTACCCTATAAAAAAAAATGTAAAAATAAACAATATTCTGTAAGATTAGAAAATAAATATATTTCCTTTTTTTAATTTTTTTCTAATTAGAGAAATAATTTCTTTTTTTCAAAATTCTTCTTTTTAAAAAAAAATCATAAATAATGTTACCCTCGTCACAAGATTTTCTTGTACAATTTTTCTCGTCTGTCTCATCGAAACAATCAAAAATATAATCACAATGGCCTTTAATGTCGATACATTGTCCATTTTGGCAACGAAACTCTAAATTTGAACACTGACTATTTGAATTGCAACTTATTTCATCTTCTCCACCAAGACAATCGACTTTTCCATCACATCTGTAATCGTGAAAAAAAATTACAATTGTGTTTATTAAAAAAAATTTGAAAATTATTATTTAAAAAATTAAAATTAAATAATTATTTTAATCATTGAAATCACTTTTTCCTTATATCGATGCAATGACCAGTTCTTACGCATCTCCATTCATCTGTTTGACATGTTCTTGTCTCGCATGTTTTTCCATCATCATTCAAACTCATTCCATAGGGACACTCACAAATCTAAAAAATAAAATGATAAAATTTATTAACTATTTTACTTTATTATTTAATTAGTTATTTAATTATATAGTCTATTACAAAAAGGACACATTTTGAGAGATTGAACGTTACAAGATAATGATCATATCAAAAAGTTCCTCCTTGAAACAAAATTTTTTCTTAACGTGATTTATGAATTTAAAAAAAAATAATAATAATTAAATTAAAATAAATAATAATTCACTTACATAATTATCTGTTCCTGTTGTAATGCAAATATGTGAACAAGGTGATCCCTGGCTACAATTGTGATTATTCATATGCCTGTTATGTAAAACTGTCAATTGCATGGACATTAACTTTCCCCTAATAGCATTATATTCTGTAGATTAAAATTATACTTTAAATTAATATTAGAAATAAAAACTAAATTTTTTTTATAAAACTCTTATTTCATTTTTTTTTTATTTCAAATATTTCCAAATAGAAATAAAAAAAAAATTATAATAAAATTAAATTCATCTTTCTATATATTTATTAAAATAAATTAAATATTTTGTCGACATTTACCAATTTTTAATTCACTACTATGAAATCTATTTTTATTAGACCAAATTAATTTTGGATCATCTCGTTCCGTCCAATATATTAAATCGTCCATAACCGCCAGGCTCACCGGTCTAAAAAGTGAGCTAGTGAAGAACCTTTCACTACTGCCTATAAAAAAAATTTTAATTAATTGTCATTTAAATTTTTTCAACTAATAAAAAAAAATATATTAAATTTAATTTTATAAAATTTTTTATTAAATTGTAATAATAGCAAAAAATAAAATCAAATATATGTAAAATTAACGAAATTTAAATTTAATGAAATTAAAAAAAAGAAAAATTTTGTTAACACACCTTGTTTAGATATACTGTAAATAGTATGGCTGCTGATATCATTGGCCAAATATAATTTCTCATCATAAAAATCATAAGCGAGAAATATTTTTATCTCCCTATTTAAAAAATTGATGATTTCAAAAAAGTTTTGAGATTTTACTTTTCCTGACATGTCCAACTTTCTTAAAACATACTTCTTCATTTTCGTTTGAAATACCACGAACATAATTCTGAAGTAATTAAAAAAAAATTTTTTAATCATTAAATTTAAAAAACTTTCAAGATTATTACAAAAAATTGCCAACACTCCATAAGTTAAGTTTTCTATTAAAAAAAAAAATCTTTTATTTGGAGAATACTTTTTTGACATTCTGACAGGACTGCAATGCCTTAAGGCCAGGTCCAAGTGAGGCAGCGCCATCTACATTGATACTAAAATTTTGGAAAATTTTCAACAGCCTTTTCTTGAAAACAAGATGGTAAAATGCTTTTTCCTTTATGGATAATTGATTATTGGCAAGATATATACCAGCTAAAACTTTTTTTGAGTTAAAATAATAAAAAAAATTTCATGTCGATAAATTAAATATGAGCACTTTTTTTCACAAAAACTGTAACAGTACTTTCTCACAAATTACAATCAAAAATGCAATTTCCATTTGGAAAATTAATAAACGCTAAAAAATACACCACCTAACATTTACCAATCACGAAAATAACAAAAAAAAAATTTTATTAAATATTTAACATATTGATACTGCTTTACTGATTGTGACAGCCCTTTGGTAGATTATGTATTTCAGGTGGTTAGCAACAGCGCCAATCTCCTCCTTTCGGCAAAACTGCGAAACGTCTGGTGACATATATATAACCTACCAAACGGCTGTCATAATGAGTAAAATATGTTATGTTAAAAAACTTTTTTTTTGTTATTTTCGTGATTGGTAAATCTTAGGTCGTGTATTTTTTAGCGTTTTCTACTTTTCCAAATGGAAATTGCATTTTTGATTGTAATTTATGAGAAAGTACTGTTACAGTTTTTGTGAAAAAAAGTGCTCATATTTAATTTATTGACATGAAATTTTTTTTATTATTTTAACTCAAAAAAAGTTTTAGCTGGTGTATATCTTGCCAATAATCAATTATCCATAAAGGAGAAAGCATTTTACCTTCTTGTTTCCAAGAAAAGGCTGTTGAAAATTTTCCAAAATTTTAGTTTCAATGTAGATGGCGCTGCCTCACTTGGACCTGGCCTTAAATCAAAAGGTATAATTTAAATTTATCTAAAGTTCTTTACTTTTTATTTTTTAAGAATAAAAAAATTATAATATGAAATTTGGAAAATGAAAGGTAGATTGACAAAAGGAAGACACGATTTGACATATAGGAATAGACATGGGAAATTTAAAACGTTGGTCTATGTATAAAACCATATGAATTCCTACGTGGGATCCCATATAGGTTCCTCTACAAAAACCCATATGAAATCCCAAGTCAACATATAATGAAAATGTGAAACGTAATATGGTGTTTGCATCACGCGTTTCTTTTTGTGTGTGGTGTGACGCTAAACGACGCGTGAGTCAGTGTTGAGCCACCCAAAAATTTTGCAATTATGAAGGGTTCTTGCTATGGAAATTCATTTGTCAACTTAAAGAGGTGTCAAAAACTTTATTTCCATTAGAAAGAAAGGAAATACAAATTTTTAATAATTTTTTTTTTTCACTTTTCAGACCAGCTTTGCGATACAAGCGAAAATCTGAAAATTATACAATAAGGGCTTTTTATTTCAATTTCACTGTTCCTTTTCTCATTTTCAAGTGTATTTGAGCGCCATTCTATTATTTGAAGGTCATTATTAATCAATTTATCTGCATATTTCATTGATTTTCTACAGTTGCTCAACCCTGACTACCTGGTTCAACTCTAAATACCTTTTTTTTAATTGACTATAACTCTGAAACTTTTGATCAAATATTTTTACAATGCTCAGTAAAAACATTACATTTTAGTAGATCTTTCGAACCATATGCGAGAAATCTCAAAATTAGGCCTACAGGGGAAGTTATAGAGAAAAGTCAAAACTATGTCTAACACTGACTACACTCCCTTATGTATATGTATATATTAATATTATATATGAGTTACTATATATTGTAATAAAATTGAACATTACCCTTCCTCTGGTACGAGAGCAATTTCATGTGGTTGATCGACAAAAGGAATTTCTAATCTACTTTGCGTCTTCATACTGTAAATTTCAATGGCATTAAATTCCATGTTTGACAAATATAAATTATTACCAGCATAATCAAAATCCATGCCACCAATATACTGATTTGTTATGTCTAAAATTAATTTCACTTCACCACTTTTCCAATTAAAACTGAACAATGAGTCTGTAAATCGATCGGCTACAAGTATATTGTCTGTAAAATAAAATGTGATAATTAACAAAATTTATTCGAATAAAACAAAATATTGGTAGAAAATTAAATTCTTTGTTAATAAACATATATTATTTAATTAATTATTATTCTATTAATAAATTTTTATATATATTTTTTATTTTCTCCATACATAAAAGCAGGATTCAAGACTCTCAATCACAATTCTTACCCTAATTACACTTAAACACACTTTTAGGTACATATTCAATTTACCTGCAATTGAATCATATACGATATGTGTAATGTCTTTTAATGTGTCATTTGATTTCATTGATGGTCGTCCAAGAAGATTTTTGTAAAATTTAAATAATTTATTGCCATATCCAATTATAATGTGTTCATAATTCAAAGATTCTAAAACAAGATTTAACAGTACGTAGATAATCAAGTAATAAAATTATTACATTCTAGTCTCCGTACTAACAAGGTATATACAAGCAACAGAAATTCCAAAGTAGATTCAAATTTTTCAGTTATGTCCCACACAGCACCTAAACTTGCATCAATATTCGCAATATTGTCTCAATATTTTAAAATTGCAAAAATAATGAGATTTAAATGAAATTTCAGGTGCTGTTGGAGGTTAAGCGAAAATTGCATTTAATTTGTTTTATAAGCATAGAAAAAATTTTCTGTGGCAGCGAATTATTTGCTGTCACATCAAATTACGTCTAGCTAATATAGGGACAGCGAAGAAATTTACTGTGCACGGAGAGAAAAATCTAGCTTTTATAGTATGAGGAGGCATACGTTTAAGGTATGAAACTTTTTCATGCAATTTTAGTCAAAAAATTCTAGCGATAGCTGTAAGAACTCTTGCGTTTGCAGCATGAAAGCAATCAATGGTAAAATGGTATGTTGAACATACTCTCATAGGAAGAACTTCATGCTCTGAAAGCAGGAGCGCCATGCGGCAAAAGTATAGAACACAGTCCTACTAGGATTGCAGGAGTCTCATGCTTTTTCGGTATGAGACTCTTGCAACAGGAGTTTAAGCCACGCCCCCTTTAAATTTACATCGTTCAAAATGATTTACGCGTTTTTATTAAACTGTGAGATACTGTACCTATACGAATAAGTAAATGTAGATAAATGATTTTAATATATATAAATATATATATATATATATATAAATTTGTTGCGACTAGATATAATTTTTATATTAAATAATATATAGTTATATAATGATAAATATCTTATTTCAAAAATAATGTTAAAAAATTATATAATATAAATAAAAAAGTATTATATTTTATTAAAATCTAATATAGTATTGTAAAAATATTTTGAACTTATATTCATATTTAGTAATTAAATATAAACTATTTATATATATGTCGCGCTACAAAGAAAGGTACATAAGAAGCAAATAATTTTAGATTATGTTTTAAATTTTAGGAATGGAAATACACAAATAGGATCAACTTATAATACAAACCATTGATCTTCAAGTTTTCATTACACCAAAAATATTTAATAAAAACTAATTTTGATCTTACTTAATGAAATAGAAACTTCTCATCAAGGTAAAATTGTATCAAACATTATAATAATGCAATAAATTTATACTGTCTGTTATCAATCACTGCGATTCACATACTGATATCAGAAATTCGAAATAGCCCATGCCTCGCTAACGTTTTCACGCAAAGTATATAAGTGGGCGTGGCTTAAACTCCTGTTGCAAAAGTCTCATACCGAAAAAGCATGAGACTCCTGCAATCCTAGTACGACTGTGTTCTATACTTTTGCCGCATGGCGCTCCTGCTTTCAGAGCATGAAGTTCTTCCTATGAGAGTATGTTCAACATACCTTTTTACCATTGATTGCTTTCATGCTGAGAACGCATGAATTCTTGCTCTAATTGTAGGAAAAATTCATGCTGGAATAGTAAGAACTACTTTCATACTATAAAAGCCAGATTTTTCTCTCCGTGTGGGGTCAAAAAAATTTGCTGTGATAGTAAATTTTTAAAAATTAAAACTAATATTGTTTATCATAGCAAACTTTTTTGTTGTCATAGCAAAAAATTTAGCTGTAGTTACTAATTTTGATAGATCCGATAGCAAACATCAGTAAGCATCTGTAAACAATTCCTCATCTTTATCCATGTAATTATATATAATTATATGAATAATGTAAAATATTATATTATAATAATAATAATAACAATAAAAGTTAAGTTACTTAAGGGTATGTAGGAACCTCCCACGTGACCTAGTATGGGATGATAAATTTGGGTACAAGAAATCTCGCTGTTCTCCGAAAAATACATAATTTTACATTAAATTATTAAAAAATGAAGTTTAAAAAGTGTAATTTTTAAAATGATAAAATACATTACTGTACTATATTTATTGCTTTATTTTTATTATTTTTGCGTTAAGTCATCGTAGGGGAGAGTGGGGTAAAACCGGGTACCCCTAGTTTTCCATGATAGGTATTTCCATTTGTGTCACCCATTATACATATATCTTTTATATTACAATCAACATCATTTTAATTATATATCCGCTGTATAAAAATTTATTTATTATATTTTATGCGACTTTTAAATTTTAGGTCAAAAGAAAATCCATTTTTGATCGAAAGTAAATCACTTATAAAAATTTTTGTGTCGATATATTCTTTTAGGCAAGTATATAATATATTTTGATTAAATTTATTGAATATTAATTATTTTCTATAATGTTAGTGAAGGATAATAATAATTGAATAAAAAGTTAAATAATATTTCATGATTTAAATATTTTCTTGATAGTACCCGGTTTTGCCTCACCATCGGGGCAAAACCGGGTACTTTGCATTTTTTTTTTTGAAAAACCTTGCTTAAATTGGTCAAAAAAATTTTTTCCATGCCATCGACCTTATTTTCTGATTCTCTAATGTTCAAGGAAGAATTTTCAATGAGACTTGAACTAATTTGTTTGATAGATTCTTTGTAAACCGAGAATTACAAAAAAGGTACCCGGTTTTTCTCCCACTCTCCCCTAAATGAGTAAAACAGCGAAATTCCTTGCACTTAACAAAATTATTTCACCAAAATTTTAATCTAAAATCATTCTTTATTTCAGAGAAATTTTGGAACCACAAAAAACGTCGTTTGCCCACATACCCTTAAGGCCAGGTCCAAGTTGAGTCAGCTGTTCCTTTGAAGTTTCAATGGAACAGCTGACACGACTTGGACCTGGCCTTAAAGGCGCTTACCACCTCACAATTTTTGAGTATAGACAAAAGTGAAAAGAGCCTTTTTCGTCTAAAATTTTGTAAAGGTTCAATTTCGTGACAGAGAATTTGTAATTAAATTAAAAAAAAACTTTTGTTAAATTCAAAGATTTAAAGTAGTTATAAATGAAGAATAAATTATAATTATAATATTTAATAAACATAAAATTATGTTTTCTGTGATTTCTATAAGAATATTGTTATAATTATTGTAAAAGATGATTTTTAACATGAATAAGCTGATGTTCTTGAAAAAGGTTATATTTTACAACAATTATAAAAATATTCTTATAGAAATTGCAGAAAACATAATTTTATGTCTATTAAATATTATAATTATAATTTATTCTTCATTTATACATTAAATCTTTGCATTCATCAAAAGTATTTTAAATTCAATTTCAAATTCTTTGCCACGAACAAGAAACATTTACAATATTTTAGACGAAAAAAGCGCTTTCCATTTTTGCGAGTTGGCTATACTAAAAAATTGTGAGGAGTCCGGGATATATGTAATTAATTAAAATAAATAATTTTTCAAAAATACCTTTACAAGTTTGATTATCTGACGCTAATTCATGATCTAAAGTACAAGCACAGGAATAATTTCCAGTTCCAGTCGGAAGACAAAGTTGTGAGCATGGATGCCGATAACAAGGATTATCTTTCTATAAATTTTTGTAATTGGTCACAAAATAAATAATATATAAATTTATAAAAATTTCACTTAATATTAGTTACAAAAATAAATTAATTTCAAATTAATCACAGTGGGCACCGGAACGTCTAAAATACAGTATCGTTGCGGAAATTGTTGGTACACCTGACGTGCAAGGAGTGGAAATTTGATGCTGACTTTATAAAAATATATTTTAAATTAAAAAAAAGTTAGTAACTTGTAACTTAGATGGTTGGAAAGCTGATAAAATTCTGTGTTTGAATGTATATCAAGAAATTTTTTTCTTTTTTTTTTAGCATTTATAACACCCAAAAAGGATTCAAGAAAAAATTATGCAATTTTCCTACTTTCGTACTAATGTAATGTTCTTGACTACTGGCATAATCTAGAATAATGTATGGAAAAATTTGACAACATAATCTTTAAGGTCTTAGCTTCAAATTGCATTTTTGAAAATTAAAAAGTGTCTTGTGGTTTTTGAAATATGTTAAAAAAGGACCGAGCATGTTTTTCTACAACTCAGCCGTCGATAATTTAAAAAAATATATTTTAGAAGACGACTTTTGGCCCAGACGTAGAATCTCTTTAGAAAATATCTAAAATATTAATGACTTCTTTTTCCAAAGTCTAAAAGACATCCACAAAAACACATATTCAAGACGTCTTACACTGAGAAAAAAATGTTGTTGAATCAATGACATATGGGTTTGATTCATTAAATAGTGTCATATCGGGCTGCCTAACTGATATATATGTCATTGTTTTGAAATCTATAGTATATGCTTTTGAGTCAATCGAAAAAGTTTTTAAATTTAAAGCATATGCTACAAAATCTATAGAATATGCTCTTAGTTTAATAGCACCATGCTATAAATTCAATCCTCTTATGAGGTTAAAGGAAAACAACCATAAATTAAAAAAACTAATCTAAGCTCATAAATTTTTTATATATTATAATTATTTCTCATATTCACACTTCTATATATTTATTTTTTTTAATTTGCACTCTCACATACACACCACACTTTTATATATATATATATGTCATTACTATATTATAAAAAGATATCGCCGCCGCTGATTCAAGAATGAACGCTAGGCGAGAACTTCGACGCTACGCGGAATTTCACAGTACCTCCTACCATTCAACTCAGGAAGCATTCAGACTCACATACCATTCATAATTTGTCTCAAATGAACACTAGGCGAGAACTTCGACGCTACGCGGGAGCTCACAGTACTCGCCTACTGTTCAACTCGCGAAGCATTAAAACTCGCGTAGGGTGACTGCCCCCCCCCCAGTGAATGAACATTCGTCTGAAAAGTACATATAACTAAGGCTAAAAATTATTATTTAATAAAAGAATGGTTCATTAATTATAACACAGCCCCACAAAAAAAAAAGTGTCATGTACTTTTGACCGGAATACCCTAACCCTATGTATTTTGACGCGCTGAACACGAATCCGAAGTCCGTTTTGCTCCATCACGTCAGGATTTTTTTCTAACCTCAAAAAACATGTCGGATTTTGAGAAGTAGGCGATTTTTTTAAAAATTGATGTATTAACTTCAAACTTGGTATCTGGGGGTTTTTTGAGTCGCTGATTACGAATCTGAAGTTAGATTTTCAAAATCCAAAATGGCGGATCCAATATGGCGGACGAATTTTGAAAAAATTTTAAGATTTACTTCAAACTTGGTATCTAGGGGTTTTTTGGGTCGCTGATTACGAATCTGATGTCAGTTTTCAAAAATTGATAATGGCGTATCTAATGTGGCCGATAGAAGTCCATGTTGGATATTCCATTTTGAATTTTTGAAATCTGACATCAGATTCGTAATCAGTGACCCAAAAAACCCCCAGATACACTATTGCACATTAATTTTTGAAAAATTTCGTAAAATAATGTCTCCCTACCAAAAAAAATTCAAGGGGTATTTCCCCCCCATAAATCAGCTTTTGGGGAAAAACAAAACATACGTGTCAAATTGTTTTCAAAAAACTACAAAACTGCCAAGTTTCAGGAAAATTGGCGTATGGCACTTCCCTAGTGTTACTTGTCAGCAACTTAGAAAACCTGTAGATACCAAATTTCATAATAATCTGACAATTTTTTAAAAATAATTCCTTAATATTGAATCAGACATATCGAATTTCGGAAATCTGACATCAGATTCGTAATCAGCGACCCAAAAAACCCCTAGATACCAAGTTTGAAGTAAATCTTAAAATTTTTTCAAAATTCGTCCGCCATATTGGATCCGCCATTTTGGATTTTGAAAATCTAACTTCAGATTCGTAATCAGCGACACAAAAAACCCTCAGATACCAAGTTTGAAGTTAATACATCAATTTTAAAAAAAATCGCCTACTTCTCAAAATCCGACATGTTTTTTGAGGTTAGAAAAAAATCCTGACGTGATGGAGCAAAACGGACTTCGGATTCGTGTTCAGCGCGTCAAAATACATAGGGTTAGGGTATTCCGGTCAAAAGTACATGACACTTTTTTTTTTTTGTGGGGCTGTGTTATTTAAAAGGTTCTTTTTATTAAAGAACATAAAAATTATGAAAAATCATTTTAAAATAAAATAAATTTTAAAGGAATACCCGATTTTGCGATCTAGAATCAGAATAATAATTAGATTACATAGAGAGCGCACTCAAAATTAAAACATTTTTTTAAAATATAATTCTTTCATAAAATATATAAAATAGGTTATCATTAAATTTTTGTAGCTTTAAAGTTTCATTATCAATATTTTTTTACAAAAAAATATTTATATTACTGAAAGTTTTAAACTGTTCAAACACTGGTACATTTTTTTCAATGATTCAGTAAATAGCCACTGTTTATTCACTGGTGCAAACAGTTTTTATCTTTTGATCCAGTGAATGAACACTCACTTTAAATCGATTCAGCTAGGAGGCGCTAATGTCAAAAAGAGCTGTCAGAATAATCCAAAGCAAATTGAAGGTTAGGAAAATATAAACAAGTGTTTTAAATAAACATCTGCATTAAATATTTGTAGTAATGCCACCTAAAAAAAGAAAATACGAAAGATTTCGTTATTCGAACGAACAATTACAAAGTGCAGTAGAACAAGTGAAAAAGTTTGGCTTTACTTGCTCTATTTTATAAGAAAATATTTTTGTCATTTATTTTTATAAATTTTTAATACTACATTGTAAATTGTAATTCTTAAAACGACTGATTAAGTTTACTTGTTATTTATTTAAAGTTGTTTGTTTAAATAATATTAATTTCTATTATATATTACTAATATAAACAACTACACCGAAAAAATGGTATTCTAGTTTTAAGATTATTATTTTCTTAAAAAAATATTCTTAAAAATATTCTTAAAATATTCTAGTTTTAAGAATGTTATATTCTTACATAAATATTCTTAATAATATTCTTAAGCATATTCTAACTTTAAGAATATTTTCTATGTACTAAATCTTCTTCTTCTTAAAACAAGAATATGCGCTAGAATTGACGTGCTGCTAGCTTGTTCGCGTCGCCATTGACTAACGAGTCGTCGTGCAATTATTTTATTAATATAATTATAGTTTTTTTGATTAAATGTTGATTACCAAAAGTGGTCAACATTACCTCTATTTGCCGCGAAAACTGTCAAGCGTGTGTGCAGTCGTCGCCACGATCCAACAACGTGTATATAGCTATATAGCTGTTATCGATTGCTTTTTCAGTGTAGCATCGATAAAGACGAGTGTTCTAACGTTGTTGTTGTTTTTTGCTTTTTTTTGTTCTATTTTTCAATGTTTTATATTATTATTTATATTTGTGTGTTGTGTGTAGGTAATAATATAAACACCATGAAAAGAGTGAGAGGTCTTACTATGGATTTGATAATTAAGTTTATAGTATTCTTAAAACTGCTAAAAGTATATTTCTTGATACAAGAAGAAAATATACTTATTTTAAGATTATATTCTAAAAAAGTGATTCTAAGAAAATATTCTTAATATAAGAAGATTCTATTCTTAATTTAAGAATATATTCGTGGCACCTATTTAAGTCTCGCATATTCTTAAAATAAGTTGAAAATTCTTAAAATTAGAATATCGTTTTTTCGGTGTATAGTGCAGTCACCTCAAAGAATTTGTATTTCTGATTCTAGTCGATATTTCTTTAACAATAATATTTAATGTTAAATTTTAAAAGAATATCTTTTTAAAACAAAGGATATAAGGAGGGGCTCGCTTCATTGAAGTAAACAATTTTTCGTATGATTCAAACTTACACACATTTTCTTCAAATTCACCTTTTACTCTCTAAATTTGAATCAGCGGAATCTCGCTGATTCTCAGCTATAAGTATACCACTGATTCCAATCAGCTTATATGCACTGATGAATTAGTGGAATTTCACTGATTTTTCAGCGTATATCCGCTGATTGGTACCAGTGGTATACTTATCGCTGATTCAAATTTAGAGAGTAGATGCTTGAAATAAAAATTGTCAAAGAATCAATAAATTATTCTGCTGATATAAATAGATTAACTATAGCATCAATTTACACAATGGCATTAATTTTACAGTACCATACTTTTAATTTAAATAGTTTCGTTTTTTCGTTTTATGTAATATACTTTTCAATCAATAAAATTGTTATTGAATCAATAATGGGAAAATGCAATAGCATTGAACTATTTGATTCAACAGTATTTTTTTCTCAGTGTATAAGCAAGTGCGTGCCCACTGTTATTTAATGTTTTTTTTATTTATAATTTAAATATTTATAATTAAAATATACCGCAGAATGATTTTGTAGACCGTGATAAATAATATTATCATATAGAACTTTATCGCTATTAATTACAGTTTTTAAATTCTTGCAAGTAAATTTGTTACAGGATTGAATTTGATCAAGAGACGCAAAATACAAATCGTCTTCGAATACTCCAAAAACAGAAAAACTGTTCCGCACAGTTTTCAACACTATCTAAAATTAATGAATTATTTTATATTAATGAAAAAGTATAATAATAAATACGCTGGGTTAGTGGAAAAAAAGGACACGTCGGATTTTCGTTGAAAAAGAGGACACGTCGCGTTTGAGTTGAAGAAAAGGACACGTCGAATTTTATATTTTTTTTAAGAAAATTTAAGTTAGTAACACTTTTTTTGAGGTTGACATTTAAATATTTATTTATTTATCACTTAACTGAAATAAATTATATTGGATAGAATGGTTAAAAATTAAATTATAATATTGAAAATTTAACCTTGTAATTTTATCTTAATTAAATTAAATTAAAAAATTTATAACTGTTATAAATTTTTTGCTGCATATACATCTTTCATCTTTTAATAAAGATAATTATAATTTTAATTTTTGTAACTTAGCGAAAACTGAAAATTGTATTAAACAAAAATATTAATTAAGATAGAATTACAAGGTTAAATTTTCAATATTATAATTTAATTTTTAACCATTCTAACCAATATAATTTATTTCAGTTAAGTGATAAATATTTAAATGTCAACCTCAAAAAAAGTGTTACCAACTTAAATTTTCTTAAAAAAATATAAAATTCGACGTGTCCTTTTCTTCAACTCAAACGCGACGTGTCCTCTTTTTCAACGAAAATCCGACGTGTCCTTTTTTTCCACTAACTCAGCGAATAATATTATTTTTTATATATGAATAATAGTATAAAATAAATTTAATGAAAAAGTAAACTTATTAATAATATTATTATTAATAATAATAATGACAATAAAACAATAAAAACAAATTATACCCTCATATCGGTCCCATCTAACTTAATTGATTGGATCATATGGTATTTTAAATCAAGCCAATACAATCGTTTATTGTATTCATCAATAGCCAATGCAAGTGGAGTAGTCACATTCTGTATGAGAATCTTTTGATTTTTTCCATTCATTCCAGCTACTAATATAGAGTTTGTTTCCCTACTATACCAATATATTAATCTGTAAAACAAAATTTACCAATTTTCTTCCTCTTCTGTAGTTATATCTCAGATATAGTATAATTTCTTACATGGAATTTGACACGGTGTTACAGGGTAAGTTTGGAAATATTACATTGCTATATTCAAGCAAGGTTTTAGGAAGAAAAGAATTTAAGTATGTTTCTAAAATAATTTAAATATACTACAAGTTTAGCTCGTTGGTTAAACTCAGGACTCACGCGGAGTAGGTGTACGATGTTTCAATACTTAGGATTTTACTTACACAATAAAAAGAAAACAAAAGAAAAAAAACTTGCAGTTTTTAATTATTTGAATTTTATTATATATATATATGTCGTAGGCCGATGGACATTTCAGGCCGTTAGCCAAAAGCATGGCTTATATTCTAATGGCCGGCCAGTAGAATACTGCGCTAATGGGCTACTAGACTGACATTCTTCAGGCCGTTAGAAGAAACTCTGTTTACATTATAATTCAACACACGTTAATTAATATAAATATTAGTAATTGCCTAAGGAGAAAACGAGGTATACAATTGAAAAGGTAAACAGAAGTAATAAGCTTTCATTTTGATTTATTTTACCAGGCAGAATATTCTGCTAATATAAAATTTTAAGAAATTCGAATTTTTAAATGTCATAATTTTCAATTCGATGAATTTTCATTTTCCGAAAATTAAAAGGGCTGAACAAACAATCGACAAAAAGATTTATTTATTATCAATTATTAATAATAATTATCTTTATTATTATTTTTATTATGCTGAAAGTTTAATTTATTTTTAGCGTTTACGAGACTCAACCTTCTATTTCGAAAGTCTGTGGTGAAGATGATGAGGCAAGTTCTTCAGAAGCTTCTGGTATTAATGCAGTCCTAAATTCTATTCCTCCATAATGTTCAATTTGTTAAATGAACATTGAAAATGATCACGGGAATCCATTGACAAATGATGAGCAAGATTTGATTTGTTCATTATGTGTAAGAGGAAAGTGTTTGAAAGATGTGCAAAATATCTTTAGCTGTACCGACTGTCGATCGCGGCACTTAGGTTTTAATAATATTCTTGGTGTCATAACTGACTTTAAAAATAACGTGTATCAAATTGGTACAAAACACGGTTTTATAAAAGGATGGTTTCCCAGGACTGATATAAAAAGTGTAGAAACTACGGTTTTATTAATAAATGACGTGCTTATGGGTGAATATTTAAGTTTACGAGAAGCTGCATCTCTGCAGTCCCTAAGTGGAGGTCAGGGGTACAAAAAATGCAATTGCAAAATTAATGAACATCAGTGCAGAACGAGAAGATGTGCTTGTTTTAAGGCAAATATTCTGTGCAACTCACGATGCCATTTGAGTTCTTCGTATTGCAATAAAATTTAACATAAAAATAGAAATTTGAACATGAAATCGTTAAATTATTAATGTTTCCTATAAATTGTTTCTTTTAATGGCCTAAAAATTGTCAGGCTAGTAGCCATCCAGCAAGTTATTCGGCTAATGGCCTATGCTATTGACTACTGGCCGGCCATTAGAATATAAGCCAGGATTTTGACTAACGGCCTGAAATGTCTATCGGCCTACGACATATATACTTATGTTGTTTCAAGGAAGAACGTCAACGAACTGTCTGAACGCGAGACTAACAGGTAATAGGAAAAACCCTTAGATCCTACATCACAATATAAATATATCATCTGATGTGAAAAAAATAGTTAAATATTAATAAATAATATTCATTAATATTAATTAACAGTAGTGTAAGCTTAAAGGAAGTTTACATGAGGCTTATAGTAATTTTATATGAAAGCATACATTAAGACTACACGAAGCTTACAGTAAGTTTACGGGAAGCTTACATTAAGGTTATATTAAGGTTAACTGTAAACTGACTACAATCTTACTCTGCACGGAAAAAAAAGTTCCGTAGGAATTCCCAAAATCGTTCCGAAAACGAGGATTTGTGCAAAAACCCGTAATTATTACAGACCTTTTATTCAGAAAAAGGATGGAACTTTTGAAGTAGATATTCCTGAATTATACGTAAAAATTCCGAACTATACAGTAATATTCAGTAATATTTAGAATTTTAGCGTTTTTTAATATACTGCTTTATTATTATTAGTTATTTTTTAATTTAAAGAATAGGTAATTATTTAAATTTATATATATTTTTTTGATGTAAGAAATTTATTACTTTATAAACAATTTTTAATTAAATATATATAATATTTATAGGTCTACACTGGACACAGACGACTAATTGAAATATCGCTCCACGTTGACGCTATATTAGTATGTCCCTTGAACGAATCTCGCACGGCAGAAAGGGGAACTATATTCACTCGTCATTCATGAAATAGAGCCATAAAGTTGCTACTAATAACGTTAATACCGTGATCTTTTAACGCTTGGGAATTTTTGGAACTATTTTAAGATAACTTTAATGCTCATATCGTACAAATTTATATAAATACAGCACAAATTTTACGCATATGGGGCATGTAAATTCTTTTGCGAAATAAGGATGACTGTTCATACTTCAAACGCTTGATTTTTATCTTCGTGTAACTTTTTCAATCTTCGACAAAAAGAGTTAAAACTTACAATTAGTACCTATACGTACTAACATGTAGATTACAGGAAAAATATAGCTAAACCTCCCTTAACTTCTACAATTTTTGACCTAAAGAAATACAAATTAGTATATGGGCATATCTCTAGAACCTTTAACTTTAATGTCCCTCGCATATATTTTGGTAATTTTAATAAATTTTTCGTTGGTTTTTGTTGGAAATATTAATGCTTGATACAATCAATCATTTCCAAAAGATTCCACTTTAATTTATTAAATACATAAATAATTATTTCAATTTTAATACGCGATTTTTAACAATGTCTACTTGTCCTTAACCATCCTTTCTGATGCTTTAAACGATATAGTTTTAGATTTAATAAAAATTACTAATTCTGAAATATGTTTTTTCAATGTTAATTAATCGGTGAACACATTTTCGCAGGGAAATTAATATTTTATTAGTTGTGAAAAAATTTATAAGCTTTTAAAAGTTGTCCCTCACTTTTAACCTTTTCGACCGTAATCATCGTATTAATGATTTTTCTTTTATAAGACAAGCGGCACGTTAAAATAACTTATGGGAAATCAAAGATCAAGTTACTATAATTATTTTGAGACATAATAAATTGATGTGCTTCATGTCTTCAAAAAACTATTATAAGTTAAATAAACGAAAACACGCGTGGACAAAATTTGAAAACAACCGTAATACGAGTGATACTTGATGAAAATCATATAAAAGTATTCGAAAAGTACTTGTATATATTTTCACATGTGCCATTTAACATCCCGTGAATGTGCTTCGAGAAAAAATATTTTATTGCAAAGATAATGTAAAAATATTCATCAATTACGGTCGACCGTAATCGACCGAAATTTTTTAGAAAGAAATTGTTATGTACGAAGTTGCCGATTATAATTTTTTTTATAGAAACTGTCATTAATTATTATTAAAACCTGAAGGTTAAGTTTTAATGTTTATTTCGAGACACAAAAATGGATCCAAAAAAATTCATTCTGAAAAAAGATAAGATGCGAGAGAAAAGAAAAATAGAAAAGGAAAAAAGAGAAAAGAAATTGGAAAGTTTACGAATATTAAATTTAAATAGAAAAAAGTCTATGAAAATTGTATGGTAAATTTTAAAAATTACAATTTTACATTTTTAAAACAATTCACTATAATAAAAATCTATTTTAAAATGTAATGTAAATATTCAAATAAAAAATTTATATATCTAGTTAATTTTTGATACATGCTTTTATACCCAGTGCATTATTTCAGTATTTTATTATTCATATAAATAATGAAAATATTAAACGAATTTTATTGCTTTTTAAAATTATAACCTATTAGAAAATTCCCTTCAACTGTTTTTTATCCTAAAAAGCAAACACCTGTTGAATATTTTTTTGTTACAGGTTAAAAATAATTCTCAATTTTAAATATTTATAACTTTTTGAAGACAACTTGTTTTATCTGTCCACTTGTATAATTGGAAAGCTTAGTTCTTGAAGTTTATGTAGACAGAGTTTCAATACTGTGCTCAAAAAAAAAAAAATTTTCTTATTGAAAAGTTAAAGGTTTCAAAGGTATGCCCATATATGTGCATTTTTACGTGTTGATTACAGGAATATTATATCGAACGGTTATAAGTTAATAAGGAAAGAAAGAAATTTTTTTTTTGAAAAATGACGAATAAAGGCACTTTAGCCCTCCTTAACAAACTATCGAGTTTGCATTTGTGTATGGTTTTAGAGCGAGTGCAACTCGCATTTATACAATTTTTAATTTTTAAATTAATAATGGAAATTTATAATATGATTTAAAAAATATTTTAAAGTTTTATATCTCACCCTGTCGTTGAACTAAGGGCAATGCATGTGGTGATTTGTTCAGTGATAATTACAGTACAATAATCTCCATCCTTGTTGCAAACTGCAATATGTTTGTTTCTGATATCTGAGAAGAAAATATTTTCAGTTTCACGATCTACAAACATATCTTGAGAACTAAGGAGACCTAATGAACAAAAAAATTCTTATTATATCACATTTTTAAGATTCTTCATCTATATTTTTAAACTTTTCAGTTTATTATTGAGAATGCTATCATCATAACCCCTCATCACGATTTATTCACTCTAAATTTGAATCAGCGAAAAGTATACAACTGATTCCAATTAGCGTATATACGCTGCAAAATCAGTGAAATTTCACTAATTCAGCAGTATATATATGCTGATTGGAATCAGTTGTATACTTATAGCTGAGAATCAGCGAAATTTCGCTGGTTCAAATTTAGATAGTTCGTATTAAAATGTTGATTAAAATCTACTGCGCAACCGTAAAAGCTACAATAAAGTGCTGCGCATAAATAATTGTTTAATTTATTTATTAAAATTTATTAATATTAATGTAAGCTTAACTGTAAGCTGACTACAATCTTACACTGCAGCTTGCGCACGGAAAAAAAACTCCGTAAGAATTACCGAATTTGTACCGAAATCGAGGATTTGTGCAAAAAACCGTAACTTTTCATGAATATTACGTAACATCTATCTAACTGTTCTGAAAGAATTCCGGAACTGTATCCGTAAGTCTTTGAACTTATCAATAAAAATAAATTCCTGAAAAAGTCTACAACTATTTCATAATATTTCAGGAATTCTCCCGTAGAAGTTACGTTTTTTTTTGCCGGAATATTTACAATCACCTTATTCGAAAAACCTACGTTTACAATTCCGGAAGAATTCCCGAACTCTGCCGTATGATAGGCGCACAAACTCTTCGTGCACGTTTTAATAGTGTGTGTTTGTGTCTATAAATTTTTTTAACATCAAAAGCATTTTTTACTGAAAATATTGCATCTAGGTAATAAATAATTAAAAATCGCTGTCAAGTTAAAGTATGAACTTTTTGTGTTGATGAAATGAACACTTTGTTTCCCCATGCAGATTTTTTGTTATCAATTTATGGTAACTTATTTAGTATTATAATAATTTTAAAACGGTGGTAAGTTGTACTTTTTGGGCGTTTGGAGTGATAGATTTTTAACATCAATTACTTCGTAATATTTTACAATAAAAGGTTCAATAATAGATCAATTCAGTCGTTTTTAAATATTCTCCAAGTTGTTCATAATATTGTTAAAGATACATACAGATTTTTTAATAAATAATGCAAAAAAGGTAATTTTTAAAAAATTTTCAATTTCAAAATTGAAAAATGCTTTTTCCTTTATGAATTATTGGCAAGATATATACCAGCTAAAACTTTTTTTGAGTTAAAATAATAAAAAAAATTTCATGTCGATAAATTAAATATGAGCACTTTTTTCACAAAAACTGTAACAGTACTTTCTCAGAAATTACAATCAAAAATGCAATTTCCATTTGGAAAATTAATAAACGCTAAAAACTACACGACCTAAGATTTACCAATCACGAAAATAACAAAAAAAAAATTTTTTAACACAACATATTTTACTCATTATGACAGCCGTTTGACAGGTTATATATGTCACCAGACGTTTCACGGTTTTGCCGAAAGGAGGAGATTGGCGCTGTTGCTAACCACCTGAAATACATAATCTACCAAAGGGCTGTCACAATCAGTAAAGCAGTATCAATATGTTAAATATTTAATAAAATTTTTTTTTGTTATTTTCGTGATTGGTAAATCTTAGGTCGTGTATTTTTTAGCGTTTATTAATTTTCCAAATAGAAATTGCATTTTTGATTGTAATTTCTGAGAAAGTACTGTTACAGTTTTTGTGAAAAAAGTGCTCATATTTAATTTATGGACATGAAATTTTTTTCATTATTTTAACTCAAAAAAAGTTTTAGCTGGTATATATCTTGCCAACAATCAATTATCCATAAAGGAAAAAGCATTTTACCATCTTGTTTTCAAGAAAAGGCTGTTGAAAATTTTCCAAAATTTTAGTATCAATGTAGATGGCGCTGCCTCACTTGGACCTGGCCTTAATAGAATGTATGCATTGTGTAGAAAAGAGTTCAAACTTTATGGTAATACCAAAAATTGTTCAAAAATTTTCAAAATTGACATATTAATATGTCTTTGAAAAAAAGGTGTCCCTTTGTTGGTCACTCTCCTTTACTATAATAAAATAAGAATAATAATAATAATAATATATACCTTACCTGTATTCAATATGATTTCTGGATTCGATCCATTTTTAAAACTTTTGTAAATTAATTGAGTGTTAATATTATCTTCGACAATCCAATAAATGTAATTCTCATGACGAGCAATACTAATAACTTTCGATTTACTTGAAACCAAATTTGAAATCTTTCTCGTTGCTAATTGCATTTTATGAATTTCTCTTTGCGTCGCAAATAATAATTCAGCGTCATTACCTGTTAATAATAAATTGCGGTGTATAATACATAAAATAATACATTTTTCAGAAAAAAAAATTATTTTTTGCAACACTAACCTCTAAAGTTAAATTTTACACACCGAAAATTGTGTATAGAAGCTCTTTTTCAAACGGTGTGTAAAGTGATTCACTTTACGCACTTAAATTTACTTTACGCACTGAAATATTACTTTACACACTGAAATTTACTTTACGCACCGAAATTTCTCTCACATAATATAAGGATTGTTTTAGACCATACAAAACCACAAAATTAAAAAACGAACTTTACTATTAAATTTATACACTCCTACTTAATGATATTTTTCCTGATCTTCAATTGATTTTTTTAATTCTATACAATCGAAATTATTCTAATAGAGAGTTGGAATTCTTCATAATAGGTACTTAACTTTAGAGGTGGGTGTTGCAAAAAATGTTGTATGATACACGTGCGTAAATCTGATTATACTCGTGTGATTTGCATCACTCGTAAAATCACTCACTTTACGCACTTGTATCATAAATAACTATTTTTTAATAAACAAAAAAATAAATAAAGCTGAATACTTCTTTTAATTTCTCGATTAATTTCAAAAAAATTTGAGAAAAATATCTTGACAATTATTCAAATGTATTCAAAATATTGATCTTTTGAAAAAATTATAAAATTTAATTTAATTATTTTATATACATAATTAAAATTTATTTTTACCTTCATATTTACAAGAACTTTTAACAGAAGTATTATGAATAATATCCCAAGGTGATACATGATATGCAACATATCCTGGGCTACAACGGCATTCATAGCCACCTATTGTATTTATACATTCATGACTGCAAATTCCATAAATTTCACATTCATTAATATCTGAAAAATAAATAAAGCAAAAATTTCCCACTTACATGTATCTAGAATAATAAAAAATTAATTTTAAAAATGTGCGTGAAAATTTTATAAAGAAATTTATTTTTCTCCTATTTAATAATTTTTCCGTTTATTTTAATTATCCATTTTTTTTATAGAAAAAAAAACATTTCACTTATGAAAAAAAATATAAGTAAAAAAAAATAATTAAAATAATTTTTTTTTTTAATATCGAAAATTGAATCTAATTAAGGAGGTTATATCGCTTTACTGAACTAGTCAAAACATAATACATTTTTTTCTGATTTGATTCACTTTGTAAATTAGAAAGTTTGGCAACACTGCTTATATTATTATAGAATTAAAAAATTATAACATTAATATAATAAATTAATAATAAAATATAATATTATATTATTATATTATTTTTCATAATTTATCTTATTTATATGGGCGATTCCACGTGAAATTTACCTATGACCCTCTAAATTCGTTTAAATACATTTTTTCTCGTTTCTTTGTAAAAAAAATATGAAATACGTATTTTTTTATTTTTGTATAATTATAGCCAAATTTTTTAGTTATGAATTTTCAAAATTTTGACTTTGTGAAAGTAGACCTTTTTTCAATGACTTATATCTCTGAAAATATTGAATTTGGTAAAGTCTTTTAAAAGAATAAAAATTTTAATTTTTCTTCAACTTTTAAGAAATTTAAGAAAAAAATCAAAAAAGATCAAATTCAAAAGAGAATTATTTATATATTTTATTTATTACCTTCACAGAATGAATTATTTTTTAATGTAAAACCTTCTCTACAGGAACAAAGCGGTCCACGAGGTGTATTTTTACAAAAATGTTGACATGTGCATCGTTTGGTCGCTAAAAAAAAACTTTTAAAATATATATTTAATACTTAATTTAATCATATTTAAATATTCAACTAATTTTTCTTATAAAAAAAACTCTATTGTAAAAGTAAATGAAATAAATAATAATAATAATAATTTCCCAAAAAATTATCAAAGAAATTATGAAAAGTGATTACAATTATAGGGCTTAAAATACAATTTTTAAAAATATTCTTACAATTTTTACAATCGCCACCTTCATCGGAATTATCACCACAATCATTGTTTTCATCGCAAGTTAAATTTAACGAAATACATTTAGTATTGTTACACAAATAACGATTAATCGTTTGATTACAATCCTTGGGCGACACTCGAAGATTTTCTATAACAATTTTTTATTTCTTTTAAATAAAATTTTTGTGCACAACATAAACATATAAAAATTTTTCATTTTATAAATTTGAAAAGAATAATTTTAATGAATTCTCTTACTAAAGAGAATATACTTATTTATTTAAAAATATTTTATTTTTTTTACAAAATTTTGTTTATAATATTTAAAAAAAAGGGTAAGTGCATCAATTACGGTGCGTTTATAAAAAATAACTATTATTGGGAGAGACCGGGGCTATTTGGCGCAGGGGTTGCTTGGCGCACTTGAGTTTATTTTAAAAGTGTTAAGTTACATTAATTTTTCTCTTTATTCTGCTTAAAGTACTTGATGAACTGTAAGTTTGTACAAAATTTCATTAATATTCATTAATTATTGTGGAGTATTAGATTAAAATAACTGATTTTGGCACTCCAAAGTAATTTTTTAACTTCTTCATTTTTTTATGATATCTCTTTAAAAAATTAATTTTAGAAAAGCTCAAATATTAAGTTTTGAGCTCTATACATTTGTTATTAAGAAACAAAAAAATTTTTTTGATTTATATTAACAGTTTTTATAAAAAATTAATAAATATTGCAAAAGTACATTCGGGGTTAAGTGGCGCGGTTATCTGAAAATTTCGTTAAATATTAATAAAATGAAGTTGATTATATGAAATTTACACATTAATAAGCACCAATAACAATCCTGTTAAAAAAATTTAACCGAATAATGGTTTTTAAATATTCACAGCGTTATTATAAAAAAAAAAATATTTTTTGGTAATTTTACGATTTCATTTAAATCAAATTTCATTTAATTTAAATGAAATTTTCTAATTTTTAAATTTAAAATAATTTTATTGTAAAATTACAATACAAGACTTATTTTGTTAAGTCTTATATTATTTAAAATTTAAATCATATAATTTAATTTTAATTTCACTCCTGCGCCACGCATCCCCGGGCCGGGGTTGCTTGGCGCGCTTAGCGCAGCTTCAAATAAAGTGGTATAAAAATAAAAGTATTAAATATATTTCAACTTTTTTTTTTTTTTTTTTTTAATTAAAGCTGATATGTTACAACAAGTTTTCTATAAATTAACTTTTTAAAAAAAGGAAAAATGAGTGAGTTACACAACAAAGAGTAAAAAGTGCGCCAAGTAACCCCGGTCTCCCCTACTATTATATTTAATATATAACTGTTGCAAAATGATTTTTAAAAAAAATTTTTAATCTTTTTGATACAATAATTACTAATAAAGATGCAAATTTAAACAATTATTTATTTAATTTTTTGATATGAAATTTTTCCCCTCACCGTAATTAAAATATTTTTAAGATTTCTATTGGCTTTCAATTACGGTGAGCAAAGTATCTTCAAAATATACGTAATTTTAGTCACCATTATATTGACAAACAAAAACTAATTCAAATGGACCTTAATATAAAATTATGGTACTAGTTTTAATTTCTCATATTTGTTTAAATAATCAATTTTTATAAAGTTAAAATTTTTTTTATTATCTAAATAACATAAACTTTTAGTTTAATAAGTCTTAAATTGACTTTTTACCATAGAAATGTCGAATTTTCTATTTCAAAGATGTGACTATAATCGCGCTGTAATTAACACATATTTACCCTATAGAATTTATTTTTATTTCTCTTTTTTAATTATTTAAAATTGTAATTTTTGTCAATAAAATATTCTAATATGCATTAAATAAATCTAGAATAATGTTTTGTGATTTATTTACATACAGAAATTATATAATTTAATGAAATTTTAATCATTTAGTAAAATTATATAAAAAAAAAAAAAATTCTCACCACAATTTATTTCATCGCTTCCATCGGGACAATCTTGTGTGCCATCACAACGTGAATTATTATTGATACAAACTCCGTCTTTGCACTTAAAACCCGAGCAGGATATTTGTTTTAACTAAAAATAACAAATGTATTTTCAATACATAAAGAAGCCAAATAATTGAAATTAATACTTATATCGAAACTAAAATTTTGTAAAATTTTCCACAGTATTTACTTGAAAACAAGACAATAAAATGCTTTTTTCCTTTAGGATAATTGATTATTGTCAAGAAATACACCAGCTAAAACTTTTTTTGAGTTAAAATAATGAAAAAAAATTAATGACAATAAATTAAATATGAGCATATTTTTTTATGAAAACTTTTAAAATATTTTCTCGGAAATAACAAAAAAGAATGCAATTTTCATTTGGAGAATTAATGAACACCAAAAAATACACAAGATAAGGTTCACCAATCACGAAAATAACAACAAAAACTTTTTTTTAACTATAACACATCAACACTATATAATTGATTTTGACAGCCATTTGATAGGTAATATATGTCATAAGACGTTTTGCGATTCTGTCAACAGGAAGAGATTATTGTTGCTAACTAAAAAAAATATCACTTCCCAAATGGCAGTCAAAATTAGTAAAATAATGTCGATATGTTATATTTAAAAAAAAATAGTTTTTGTTGTTATTTTCGTGATTAGTGAACCTTAGCTGGCGTATTTTTTAGTGTTTATTAATTCTTCAAATGAAAATTGCATTCCTTTTTGTTATTTTCGAGAAAATATTTAAAAAGTTTTCGTAAAAATATATGCTTCATATTTCATTTATCGTCATTAAGAGCATTTGAACCTTCGTGACGTCACAAATCATGGCGCATGACACGCAAACTTCTCAGGTATGTGAAAAGCACAATTTTGAATATTTTTTAAAAAAAACCTTTTGGAAAATGTTCAGAATAACATAGACTCTGTCTGTTATGTGCGGAAAATTCAAAATTTTGCGTTTAAAACGTTTTTTAAACAATGTTTAAGTTGGTTGTCACAAGTAAGGAAAAATACACGAATTGCTTATATGTAGGCCATTTTTGGAAAGACTAGGATAAAAATTGGAAAATTCTCATGTAATTTATCAAATATTTAAATTAATTTTATTATAAATAATAATTAAAATTGCTTATTACTAATTGAACAATAAATTGTTGTTGTTTATTTACTTTTTTTAAAAAGCACATATAAGAAAGCATTTTTTTGACAGCTTTCTAAATTATTCATCTCAATTTTGTAAAAAATAAAGGCCAAAAAACCAATTTATTTTTCAATTTTTCAACTAAATAATTATTGTTTTTTATTTAAAAAATTGCAAAATGTTTGAATTTTCAACATTTTTTACAACATTGAGATGAGTAATTTAAAAAATTCTCAAAAAATTGCTTTTTTATATGTGCTTTTTGAAAAAAGTACATAAAAAAACAATAATTATTTATTTAAAAAATTAAAAATAATTGGATTTTTAACTTTTTGTACAACATTGAGATGAGTAATTTTAAAAATTCTGAAAAACATGCTATTTTATATGTTCTCCTTTAAAAAAAAGATGAAAAACAATAATTAATTATTTGCAAAATTGAAATACAATTTGAAATTTAATCTCTTTTTTATACAATATTGAGAATAGCAATTTAAAAAATTGTCAAAAGATTGCATTTTTATATGTTCTTTTTGAAAAAATTATATGAAAAACAATAATTATTAATTTAAAAAATTAAAGAATAATTCAATTTTTAAACAAATATTTTTCACAACTTTGAAATTTGCAAATAGCAAAATTAGGAAAAAACTGCATTTTTGTATTTTTTTTTTTTTAAAGTAAATAAACAACAATTTATTGTTTAATTAGTAATAAACAATTTTAATTATTATTTATAATAAAAATTAATTTAAATATTTGATAAATTACATGAGAATTTTCCAATTTTTATCCTAGTCTTTCCAAAAATGGCCTACATATAAGCAATTCGTGTATTTTTCCTTACTTGTGACAACCAACTTAAACATTGTTTAAAAAACGTTTTAAACGCAAAATTTTGAATTTTCCGCACATAACAGACAGTGTCTATGTTATTCTGAACATTTTCCAAAAGGTTTTTTTAAAAAATATTCAAAATTGTGCTTTTCACATACCTGAGAAGTTTGCGTGTCATGCGCCATGATTTAAGATTTAACATTAAAACAACACGTAATACCTTTAAAAAAAACCTACCAATTGAACCTAAATTGCAGTAGACTAAGAATAATCAATTTTATTCCATTTTCTGGGATAGAATGTTTTCCTGGAAAATGAAAAAATTCCTTACAAATTCAAATAAAATTAATCAGCATGTCTCTATTATTTTTTTACCTTAAAACAACACGTAATACCTTTAAAAAACCTACCAATTGAACCTAATTTGCAATAGACTAAGAATAATCAATTTTATTCCATATTTTGGGATAGAATGTTTTCCTGGAAAATGAAAAAATTCCTTACAAATTCAAATAAAATTAATCAGAATGTCTGTATTATTTTTTTACCTCAAAACAACACGTAATACCTTTAAAAAACCTACCAATTGAACCTAAATTGCAATAAACTAAGAATAATCAATTTTATTACATTTTGTGGGATAGAATGTTTTCCTGGAAAATGAAAAAATTCCTTACAAATTCAAATAAAATTAATCAGCATGTCTCTATTATTTTTTTACCTTAAAAAAACACGTAATACCTTCAAAAAAACCTACTATTTGAACCTAAATTGCAATAGACTAAGAATAATCAATTTTATTCCATATTTTGGGATAGAATGTTTTCCTGGAAAATGAAAAAATTCCTTACAAATTCAAATAAAATTAATCAGCATGTCTCTATTATTTTTTTACCTTAAAACAACACGTAATACCTTCAAAAAAACATACTATTTGAACCTAAATTGCAATAGACTAAGAATAATCAATTTTATTCCATATTTTGGGATAGAATGTTTTCCTGGAAAATGAAAAAATTCCTTACAAATTCAAATAAAATTAATCAGAATGTCTGTATTATTTTTTTACCTCAAAACAACACGTAATACCTTTAAAAAACCTACCAATTGAAATTAAATTGCAATAAACTAAGAATAATCAATTTTATTACATTTTGTGGGATAGAATGTTTTCCTGGAAAATGAAAAAATTCCTTACAAATTCAAATAAAATTAATCAGCATGTCTCTATTATTTTTTTACCTTAAAAAAACACGTAATACCTTCAAAAAAACCTACTATTTGAACCTAAATTGCAATAGACTAAGAATAATCAATTTTATTCCATATTTTGGGATAGAATGTTTTCCTGGAAAATGAAAAAATTCCTTACAAATTCAAATAAAATTAATCAGCATGTCTCTATTATTTTTTTACCTCAAAACAACACGTAATACCTTTAAAAAACCTACCAATTGAACCTAAATTGCAATAAACTAAGAATAATCAATTTTATTACATTTTGTGGGATAGAATGTTTTCCTGGAAAATGAAAAAATTCCTTACAAATTCAAATAAAATTAATCAGCATGTCTCTATTATTTTTTTACCTTAAAAAAACACGTAATACCTTCAAAAAAACCTACTATTTGAACCTAAATTGCAATAGACTAAGAATAATCAATTTTATTCCATATTTTGGGATAGAATGTTTTCCTGGAAAATGAAAAAATTCCTTACAAATTCAAATAAAATTAATCAGCATGTCTCTATTATTTTTTTACCTCAAAACAACACGTAATACCTTTAAAAAACCTACCAATTGAACCTAAATTGCAATAAACTAAGAATAATCAATTTTATTACATTTTGTGGGATAGAATGTTTTCCTGGAAAATGAAAAAATTCCTTACAAATTCAAATAAAATTAATCAGCATGTCTCTATTATTTTTTTACCTTAAAAAAACACGTAATACCTTCAAAAAAACCTACTATTTGAACCTAAATTGCAATAGACTAAGAATAATCAATTTTATTACATTTTGTGGGATAGAATGTTTTCCTGGAAAATGAAAAAATTCCTTACAAATTCAAATAAAATTAATCAGAATGTCTCTATTATTTTTTTACCTTAAAAAAACACGTAATACCTTCAAAAAAACCTACTATTTGAACCTAAATTGCAATAGACTAAGAATAATCAATTTTATTCCATATTTTGGGATAGAATGTTTTCCTGGAAAATGAAAAAATTCCTTACAAATTCAAATAAAATTAATCAGCATGTCTCTATTATTTTTTTACCTTAAAACAACACGTAATACCTTCAAAAAAACATACTATTTGAACCTAAATTGCAATAGACTAAGAATAATCAATTTTATTCCATATTTTGGGATAGAATGTTTTCCTGGAAAATGAAAAAATTCGTTACAAATTCAAATAAAATTAATCAGAATGTCTGTATTATTTTTTTACCTCAAAACAACACGTAATACCTTTAAAAAACCTACCAATTGAACCTAAATTGCAATAAACTAAGAATAATCAATTTTATTACATTTTGTGGGATAGAATGTTTTCCTGGAAAATGAAAAAATTCCTTACAAATTCAAATAAAATTAATCAGCATGTCTCTATTATTTTTTTACCTTAAAAAAACACGTAATACCTTCAAAAAAACCTACTATTTGAACCTAAATTGCAATAGACTAAGAATAATCAATTTTATTACATTTTGTGGGATAGAATGTTTTCCTGGAAAATGAAAAAATTCCTTACAAATTCAAATAAAATTAATCAGAATGTCTGTATTATTTTTTTACCTCAAAACAACACGTAATACCTTTAAAAAACCTACCAATTGAACCTAAATTGCAATAAACTAAGAATAATCAATTTTATTCCATTTTCTGGGATAGAATGTTTTCCTGGAAAATGAAAAAATTCCTTACAAATTCAAATAAAATTAATCAGCATGTCTCTATTATTTTTTTACCTTAAAAAAACACGTAATACCTTCAAAAAAACCTACTATTTGAACCTAAATTGCAATAGACTAAGAATAATCAATTTTATTCCATATTTTGGGATAGAATGTTTTCCTGGAAAA